GGGTCCTGCTCTCTGCCACTAACAAAAGCGATAAATTATCAGCCAGGCTGCACCCTGCCAGCCCAGCCCAGGCCAGCCCAGCCTCAGGCTGCAGCCTCCAGGCGCTAACCCTGCCTAACTCCCCCCTCACACACCACCCCAAAGAGCTGCTGCAGGGAATAGGGCAGGGTCTGTCAGCCCTGCTCCAAACAAGCAGATTTTATCATCACGTGTGAGGACTGAGAGCTCCCTGCAGCAGGATTTATAGGGGGGCTTTCCAGCTGCAAGGCAGACTGACCCCAGCACAAGCAGCACAGACCTGTCCTGGACACAGAGAGTTACAAGAGTCTTCCAGGGACCCTGGTCTCAGTCCGTCCTGTCCTAACATTGCCACCAGCATTGCTCCTGACTATCATAGTTTAATCCTTCAGATGCTAGCCAACGCCCTGTAGAACCCCAGCATTCTCAAGCCCCCCAACACCTCTCCTCTCACAAAAGTATCTATGCCTGAGTTTCATTCTGGAAGGATCCCCAGGTCCCTGGGGAGAACTGTGGGGCAGCCCTTAGTGTGGGTGGAAGTGTTGGCAGAGGCCCCTTTGCTCCCGCAGGGCCCCAGGGATCCAGAGGAGCCCAAGCCTGATCAGCGGGTGTCTGTTTGTGTCCCGGGGGCTCTGGCAGGGAAGGGATCTGATGCAGTAATTGAGGCTGCAGGAATGAGAAGTATGTTCTGAAACAGCAGCGGGTGCGGGGTGCCGAGGGCTGCACTTGGATCAGCCCGATCCAGGGCCCACAGTAATTTCCCAAATGCACCCTCCTTCCAAGCCCACCCCAAGCCTCACAAACCCTAGGAAGAGCTTCCCAAGAACAACCAGTCCTTTGAGAAACTTAAACCACTCTCTCCAACACCTCTAAACTCTGTTAGGGACATCCTTCCTCAGAAAGCTACAAGTGCCAAGCTGTTTTCCCTCGAGGGCAAATCTCCTTCATGCTGTCAGAAGAAAAGCTGCCTGGGTTCACATTGCTGCTTAAGGTGAATGCATGGTGTGTTTTACCAACTAGTTGTGAAATTGCAGACTGCTTCAGAGGAAAGGAGAAGCATTTTATTGTGAGCAGGAGAATTAATCATACCTGGGGCAGTACAGATGTCAGCAAAAAACAATGCAGAAAGGATTTCTCAGGAAGACTTCTTGACATGAATAGGAAGGTTTTTTAAGGTCTTTTTAGATATGAATGAAGGATGCTCGGCGGCTGTTGTGACCCCTGTTTAAAACCTTGCTATCTAGATCCAAGAAAGGGATGTGTGTGCTAAAGCTACAAAACTATAAGGGGAAGGAGTTTTATTCAAGAAATGGAAACTTCCCAAGACTGCTGCAGCACTAATTCATGACATGTCCCATGTAGTTTATGGCAGAGATTAAAGAACACAAAGGATAAAATATTTCAAAAAAGGCATTTAACTGGGAAAACAAGAACAGACTAGACTCCAGCACATCCGTTGTGCAATGCTGAGTTGTTGAGCTCTCAGCCCCAGTATTCAGGTCCTGCTCAAGGAAATACCACTGGCTGATGTTTGCTCATGTGCAACCCAGCATTTCATCACACCTTTTTATTTGTTGTGGAGTGAATCCCCTTGGTAACATGGCCACCCCCTTTTCGTCCCTTTGTGCATTTTTCTCTGCCTGGGACTTGTTACCCTGGTCCCAAGGGATATGCTTTCCATGGCTGTTACCCATTTGGAGGCTCCATACATACACACTGTTGGAAGAAGAGAGGACTCAGTCTTCTGATTCACTACAGCCTTTCCCTGGATTTTTAAAAGATACTGGTTATGATCAGCCAAGCTTGGCTGAGTACAGATTTATATCCTGACCCAGGTTGCCTCTACCAGCTCAGTCCATTCTGTAAGGCAGAGAAGGCAGTGGCAGGTCTGGGAGGTAGCACTAGGGATGCAGTGTCCTCCTGACAGCGCTGGAACTGTTGCTGCAGCCAGGTAGGGAAAGAAGAAATATTGATATGGATAGGGGCTAAAAAAGCAAAGATGACAGTCCAAATTATCTTATGTGAAACAAAGGAACATACGGCAAAGGGGAGGAGAAAAAGAGAGACAATAATACATGCAACACTGACGGGGGCTGTACAAAAAACTGTGATAACAGCACTTCCTAATCTCATTTGGTGATAAATTCCCAAAGTTTGTCATGAAACGTCTCCTCACAGTCCCATTTAGGCCCAGGTGGCCACAATCCTGTTGCTGAGAAAAACCTCAGAGAGAAAAGTCCTCCACCATCCTCATGACTTCCTTCCATGCCTCCAAATATGCCCAACACCAGGGTTACCCTGGTAACCCTGAAATCAGTAAAACTTGTTCAAGTAAAAAGCAGTAACAAAGTTAAGAGACATGTTAGGGATATAAAACTTCTCAAGTGATACACCCTGACCAGCAGGTGAAGATGCATGTTGAAAACAGCATTTTCCCCTCCAAGTTTTCTTACTAAGCATCACATTTGCTTTTCTGGATGCTCTGCCCATGCTCTGTGGGATGGGATAAGGACACCAAAGTCAATCCAAACTATAGAGGAGACATGATAATGAGAAATCTGACCTTTCCGACTTTATTATCCTTATTTGCCGCATCCAGATCACACTGGACATGACACAAGTTCACAGTGGTGTCATTTACCTGCACATGCTTCCATACCAACGCCAAAGTCTTGGGATTTGCTCAGGGGACCCATGTCTTAGGTTGCAAATGCAAGATGTGGCCAGGGGTGTCCATTCTATTACCATCTGTTAGAGGTGGGGCAGTTCTCTGTTCATGGGGCAGTTTTCTTTATCTCTTCCACAACCAATCATACCTGCAGGAGATCTCTGCTGTCCATGGCCAGTGAGTGTCCCTGCATGGCTGATCCAATTCCAGCATTCCATGGGGAGATGATCCGCCCAGGGGAGGAGCCAAGCATTCCTACCTGGATCCAATCTGAGCTTTGGGACACCACAGCAGCCTTTTTCCATTGGATTCCCAGAGAAGCAGCTTTCTTCTCCACTGGACTCCCAGAGAAATACCAGGCCCATCTACACCACTCCTGGAGCTTCAGAGGAAAACTCCACCCTTTTACAGGATCATGGCTTCAACAGAACCACAGCTGGCACTGCAGGAGCACTGCAGCCACCATGGAATGGGACTGCTGCCACTACCCTGACGCACAGAGTGTCAGACCATATTTCTGACTCTGTCAGTGTTGTTTTATATTACTGAATTTTTTTTTCATTTTTCCTGATAGAGAACTATTATTCCTACTCCCATATCTTTTACCTGGGAGCCCCCTTAATTTCAAAACTATAATAATTTAGAGGGAGTGGGTTTGCATTTTCCATTCCAAGGGAGGCTCCTGCCTTTCTTAGCAGACACCTGTCTTTTGAAACCAACACAACCCACTACCAGGAAATGACTTCTCTTAAAACACGAGGAAAGCTCGGTCCAGCCTTTGTAACTTCCAATCCAGCAAGCCTGTAATACTCACAGGAATGAGACTCAAATTTCCAATTATTGGCTGAGTTATTTGTAGCTTCATATATTTTACGACCAGAAGGGACCATCATCTAGTCTGGCCTCCTTAAATGGAAAGCTCCATAAACAGCAACCCCAATTCCCCGAGCTTCATTACAGTAATGAGCTCAGGAGTCCTGCCCTCTCGTCTATAGCCCTAACCACTGGACCCCGCCATGCCAAACACAGCTGCTCAGATCTGCCTTCAGCTCCAAAGGCAAGTCTAAGAGTCCCTCCTGAAGATGCAATAAATCAAATACCAATGTCCATGGTGATGGGGAAGGGTGACTGTCTTCATACGCCGGCTCAGGATGCCCAACAGGGAGTTCAGGTCCTGGGTACTTTGTTCCGGGGGCAAACACCAGCAAGGACATGCATCCAGACAGCAGGCTGGGATGGAGAGACTTACCTTGCTATGATGTTGTTTCCCCTTTGGGAGTGTTATTTTGGGGAAGAGAGAGGGAGCCACTGACACTTGCCTGGTTTCACATCCTGGCCAATTCATTTCACCCCACTGGGATTGTTTCAAGGCAAGCAGTACCAGCAACCAGAAAGCCAGTGGGGTGGTGTAGCAGCTCTCACAGGCTTTGTCCTTGCCTGCGCTCTTTGGATCAAATGGCATTGGGAACAATGTGGCAACTGCTCTCCTCTGCGCCACCTGTCAGAGATACATGCTGAAAAACCAACCAGGACCTCTTAGTACATGCTTCACTAACCACCTCCCTCCATGGCACAAGTGAAGATGGCCTCCAATGGCTGCCACAGAACTCTGGGAGGGACAACCCAGCTCCCTGTGGATTCATAAGAAACCACCTGGCTCTGACACAGGAAGAGGTCTCTGAACTAGGACGTGGCCAGGACATGGGAATTTTCAGGGGTGAGCCACTCATCTTGTCCTGCTGCACCTCTCCCATCACCAGGTTGAGACTCCACTGGCCAGCAGGTGCTCACCTTCAGGCACCAAGTTGAACATTTGAACGAGAGAAGCCTTGGAATGGAGAAGTGTTGATTCAGGAGCTCAGGGGCCTGGGGGGCAGGACTTGGAGCTCATCCACTTGAACAACACATAGTGGGAAGGCAGCCCCAAACCCACACCTTCAGCGTGCCCCAGGAGCCACCAGCCAAGGGCAGAAGCTCATGCTTGCACTAGGTAGGCAAAGCTTGGCAGACAGGACACTACCAGTCATGCTAGGCTGGTGTTTGCACCTCCTTCCAGGTGTCCTTTCCTGCCACTATGATAATTTTCCTTTTCGGAGGCATTAGTGGCTCAAGGTCTTTATGCTTCCCATTCAGGCCTTCCCCTTATAGGATCTAAGTGTCACTGTCACAGCTAATAGCCACCAGCAGCAACCGCAGCTATGGGCAGATGGATGATGGGATGGGATGGGATGGGATGGGATGGGATGGGATGGGATGGGATGGGATGGGATGGGATGGGGCACACACAGCTTAATGAAAACAGAAAGCCACCCACCTCATGACCAGTTCATGGAGGAGGAAACAGGAAGAATGTGCTCCAGGTTCTTGGTCAGGACACTATTCACAGACTGTGTCTGCAACATGACAGCCAGGAAGAGGCAGGGAAACAAGAAGCCAGAAAAACCAGGGCTTAGGACATGTTCCCTGGAGGCAGCCATAAATGTAATCAGCAGAAGAGCACTCATCCCATTAATCAGCAAGTCTTCTCCAAGCACCATGGGCAATTCCCACACACCAGCTTGGACCATGCTGGCTGTGACACCCCTGTGAGTCACTGCCCCGGGGTCTACCTGGTGGGATGAGTTGGCTGCTGGTCACACTGCACAGCACAAGTTGCTTACTGGCATTGTCAGGGTTACCACCCATCCTCCCCTGCTGCCATGGTGTTTGTGGTGACAACAGAGACAGCTCAAGGCCTCTCTTTCCTGCAGGCAAGAGGTAATTTAGTGGCTGCAGAGGAGCAGCTCTTGGGTGGAGAAGGGCTGGGCTAGAGGTATGGGAGAGAAAGCATGAAATTTTGGAGAGCTCTGCTTATTCATGCCCTAGGTTGGACCAGACAATACCCTGTGTGTCCTTAGATGTGCTCATCACCTCTTTGAGGGTGAGCACAGAGACAGGCCATGCCACATGTCAGAATGACTGGCATGAAGTACAGAGAGTACATCTACTATTCATCCCATTCCTGCTGAGATTACTCAACTCATACCTCAGGAGCCTGAACAAGAAGACCCATGTGGTATCCACAGCCCTGCAAAACCCAGCCTAGTCCCTTCAGGGCCCATAAGAAGCATCCCCATGGACAGGGTTTCTCTGTGGAGATAGAAGATACAGACAGGCCAGGCTTTCCCCCAGCTTGGTCCCTCTCAGAGGCTGGCAGAGCACATAAAAGGCTAAAAAGGCTAGAGGATCTGTAGCAGCCTGGGCACCCTTTATCCTCTCATCCAAGCTGCAATAGCCAGGAGTCTGGCAGCTGTGCAAGCTGTAAAGTTCTGCTGTCCTCAGCAGCACTATGTAAAGGTCTGGGCAGGGGGTTGGGGGAGAATGGACAGCAGAACAGCAAGTCTAAGCCTCCCTCCCCATGCTTTCTATTACCAGAGCAAATCATCCTACCTTCATCATCCATACCTTGGACAAGGTGTCCAAAGGAAATACACAGGACAATGTCTGCAATAGAAATGCACACAGGTTTGCAAAAAGCCTGGCTCCTGGGGCCCTGCTGAATGGACAGGACAGCCTTTGCCAGTGCAGTTACCCTAAACTGGTCCTGTCGGGACCTGTTTCATCAGCCTTTACACTCAGCTGGTGCTTTTCTATAGTAGGGAACATCAACACATTGTGGAAACTGAGTCCCAGTGGCACACAAGGCTGGACTTAGAGGGCATCTCAGCACAACCTCACTTTGCACCAACATCCTCATTGAGCCTATCTGTCCTCACGTGAGTCATGGCTTCATCATGAGGCTCTTCATCATGATCTCTCTCTGTATGAGGGGAGCACAGATATTTGTCTATGACCTTTCTCTTGAGTGCAAGATCATGAAACAAGTTGGGTAAAATGGTAGAGAGAGAAGCAGACAGAGCTTTGTACCCTACCTAACACTGGAGTCTGATAGGACCTTCTCCTGCAATGTAGGATGAGCCATACATACCCCAAAGTTTCTGCTTCTCCCCCAAAACTGTCCAAAGGCCTCATTTCCAGCCAGGGTTTGCTGCCCAGCAGGGCAGTGACAAGCAGTGCAAGTGCCTGGAAGGACAATCAGGGCAGTGAGGACACCTGGTCTCGCCAGAGAGCCCAGAACCAAGGGGAAGTAGCAGCTCCTCCACCCTGAGCCTACTCAAAGTGTACATGGCTGCCTAATCACTTACCCATGGGAATGAGGAGACTTGCTCTCTGGAAACAGGGGCTAGGCAGCCACAGGCAGATGACTGACTTATTGCAGACTCCTGGGGTGATAAATTGAGACTCATTGTGGGCAGGTGACAAAGCAGACTAAGGGAAAAGGAGCGGGGGACATTCACTCCCTGGCAGCTGCTGCCCAGCCCTGACCCCTTCTTTTACTGCTCCTTTCAGGCCGCTTGAATTGTACAAACACAGTGCTTTCCAAAACCTGCTGAACCTCCCTCGAAAAGCTCCTGCCCCCTCCTTTCCCTCTTCCTTTCAGGGCTCCTGTCCTCTCCATTCCCAGTTCCTCCCTCATTGCCTGCTCTCACTCCTGTGTCTGGGATAGGAGGTCCACGGTTGGGGCCGGGGCGGAAGCCACATGGCCACCCACAGGCTCATGCCATCAAGCAGCCACAGCACAGGGCTCTGAGGATATTTTTCCATCCCCATGAGACCCATGTGTCCTCCAGGTTGTGCTCCCAGCCCTGAAGAAGCTCACCTGGCTCACCTCGACAGAAGACACAGTACCATGTTCTGAATATGGATAACTTCAAGATGCCACTTAAGGAGACACCATGTTAAGCAGCCCTGATGTGGCTCTGATTTGGGCCTCAGTTAAAGGAAAAAGCCACTTGAATCTCAGTTCACAGTAGGGCTAACTTGAAAGCACAGACTGTGAGCGGAGGATCCAAGGGATCAGCTTGAGGAAATTAGCTTTGCCCAGCGCATGCTGAAAGGCTAGGAGGCAGCAGGTGCTCACCAGTCCCTGCTGGACCCGACACGGATTACTCCGTCTGACCTTATCCCACACTTCTGTTAGCTCTTTCCTCCTTGCTCCACCATGTGCCCTGATGAGATAGTCAAACCATGACACATAGAAAAACAGATACAAATGGGGACACACTAGCAGCAGAGTTTTCACCAAGCCCTGGCTTTCCAGAAACTCCTCTGGGAAAAGCCAGATTAGGCCCTATTACAAACTGGATGAAAGCATCTCACTGGTGTGACAGGGAAGTTGATGACTCTTACAAGAGGGTAATAATAACACGTAGGATAGCGTTAAGTAAGGTCCCTGATTCATCTGAGCCTACTCTAAGAGCCCAGTGCTCCTGTGGGGTCTGCAGTCCTGGATACATTTAGGACTGGATCTTTGAAGAGGTTGGGTAGGACAATTAGGGCAGACACTTTCTACCCAACCCACTCCAGGATGCTTTCATGAAGGGTGTTCTCAATTCCTCTGTTCTGTGTTTGAAGACAATATTTGGCGATTCTCCACTTCTCACTTCCCCTTGCTCACACTTGCCTGCTTCTGCACAGCTTGTCAGAAAATGATACCCACTCTGGAAAAGCAGTTTGAAATCAAGTCTTAGCAGGCAGCTGAAAAGTAGTGAAGTATGTGTTATGCAAAACAACTAAAATTAACTCTTTCCTCCACTCTAGAGGGTCTGCTTCACTCTATGCACCCACCACCCACCCTAAGCCACTGACCATTTGGACTCACACCAATAGTCTGACAGCAATTAGTTGGAGAGAAGCAGCTGGCAACCATCAGGTACTTGTAGCCGCGCATTAACTGGATTTATCACAGGCTTGGAAATTGTAAGTATTTGCCTGTAAATACACCATTTCCATTTCACTTAGCCACATATACCCGTAAGTTAAAAGCCCATATCTAAGTACATCCCTCAGCTGCCTTTATAGAGAGTGGTGACCTCTTTTAAGTATCTAGTTTGGGATGATCTGGATCACCCTGTGGAGGGCTGTCTTCCTCACTGCTGACTTACAGAAGTCTGTGATGAAAACCCGAATTGACACCAAATTGTCTCATGGAAAGCAAGCATTCTTTGCATGGTGGAGCTTTTCCTCAAGTCCTTCCCAACAAGATTTCAGCTTTTAGCAGCTGCTTGCTAGGAGCTGGGTACAGACATGCATCCAGGTTTAATTCAACACATTGAGCCCTAGGATACACCACTAGTTACTGACCTCCAACTAGACTTGTTTTCACTCCTGGGGCTGGCTATTCTGTCAGTTTTCAATCCATTTTACTGTCTGCTCATTGAGCTTGTACATCCACAGCTTGACTATTTGAACTTTGTGGGGAAAAAAGAGCCACAGGTCTTGCTGAAGTCCAGGCAAAGTCCAACTCTCTCCACATATTAACTAGGCCAGTCTTTCATTAAAGTTAATTATGTTGATCAAGCATGACTTCCTCTTGGTGACTATTCCTGATTATTTTCTTGTCTATCATGTGCCTGATAAGTGCCCTTTGTAACCTCAGCTTTTCCATGTTGTCTTGGTCTAAAAGAAAGGTGTCTGCCAAGGAAGGCGGGAACCTCCTTTGGAATGGAGAATATGACCCATTTCCCCCTGAATTATTATAGCTTTGAAATTACAAAGCTTTCAGGAAAAGATATGCGGAAAGGAATAGCAGTTCTTTACTAGTATATATATGTATTGCAAGAGAAACAAACAGCAACGATGGCAGCAACACCAAACAGAAGCAGAGACTCAATCCCAGGCTCTCGGCTGCAGGCTCCCTCCCCTTTGGTGCAGTTCCGGGCATAGCCAGCAGGGGCGCTGCTGGCTCCCGNTCGACGTCCCAAGAGAGCCTGCCAGGGGCAGAGCTCTGCTTTTTAACCCCTGTGTATTCTCGGAGGTGTGTCCAAACCCCACTGGCTACACCAGGTGCCAGTATCAAACTCTCGAACATCCATTGGTTTGACCACAGCATCCCAGAATTCCCACTTCTTCCTGGTCAAACCACCACAACACAATACATCTTTCCAGGAAAGGTCAGCACATGAATGACATACAAAACCCAAATATATCACTCCAATTTAGTGAGAGGCAAGAGCATTAATAATATTGAAACTGGAGCACAGGGTAATTAATAAAAAATACAATAATAATGACAACAACAACAATTAAAAATTACAATTATTAATGCAGCTCTGACTAATATCAGAATTTTGTCATTCTATTGCTAAGACATCAGAATAATAGCTGAAAAGAAAACATTTTCTGTATCACCTGGAAATATGCTTTATTATAATGTGCTGCTACTTGACACAGTGTTGAGCAGTGCTGTCTCTTGTTCATAAACACTTTAGGTACTATTTACTGCTAGGTCTTTTCCAGAACTACGTAGTATGAATGAAAACCATTAAATCAAGAGAAGCTTAACATAAAAAGCTACTTGGATGCAGGGGGATAGAACATAAGTAAATAAAGGTAGTATAGAAAGTAATCTTAGCCCCTAAAGAGTTGCAGCTGAGCCAGTTATTAAGGATTAGGAGCAAGCCTGATGTTAACAGGCCGCAGCTGTAGCCAATAAGAAGAGTGTTATAAAAGAGT